CAAATTATATAGCACATCACTCCTTAACGTCGTGGGTAACCCGTCCTGGGAATGTCATTAAAATTCACCTCTAAATGTTATAAATGACAATTTACACCTCGCACTTTAAACTTAAATACCGATGCAGTGTCTACCTGACAATGTATTGACCCTACAGCCCATACCAAACGCATTGATATGCAAATACAGGTATCACATTTGTAAAATACCCGCTTCCTATGTTTTCCTAATACACACACAAACCACACACTAAGCCCTAAGTAAATGTTATTGTGACTAATTGAGTCAGGTAAAATACAAAACACAAAATAGCTGGATTTCGTGTCTTCATATTGAACAGGTAAATATAAATAATAATTTTCATTGATCGTGTGCAACAAATTTGACATCATTTTGAAAACGTGGGCGTGTGGACCGTGGTTTAATTTGATCACATGCAAATATATAGCATTATATTTTAGACCACTCGAAGCCGGTAGACGAAGCCCGGGAAAATATATATGGCCAGAAACGCCGTTGAACTATGCATGGCCCAATCAACACACGGATAGTTGTAATCAATGCCCATACTGGAACAATAGTAATGACTGGTAGATGGATGGACAAAATAGAGGTTTGAAGATAGAGAGCATGATACAATTTACATTTTTAAATGTTACTTACTTCGATTCCAACGGCGTATAAAATTAGTCGTATCGATTCCCCCAATCCCCGCCCATCAAAGTATGTTAAATGTGCCTTCATTGCGGTGAGCGCCAGAATGCAAATGAGGAAATATTCAAATGACGCACCTGTGGATTGGCTCTATGAACTCAAATACAGTAAGGGATATGTCATTATTTATTACGTGGGTGGTTTGTTGATTCAGTGGTGTTGATGGAGAGCTGTATCCCAGCCAGTAGTTGACTATTATAATTTCAAATATGGTCGAACATCGTACTTTTTTGTGAAACTACGTGTACGTTCTCTTTTGCACTGTAATGTTTATTTTTGTAGATTCCGTTAATGTGGATTGCATTGTTAGACAACAAATAATCGTTACTATGCCATTTTGGCTGTTCCTAAATGCATCGTCTTTTAAAAAAGTGTTTTTATTCCCCTTTCTGTGGTTCGCTGAAAATAAAATTAAACCTATGTTCTAAACATCTGCACTCAGGTAGAATATCCAAATATTGAATTGAATTAGTGCTATATTCCTTGACTAGCTATGCCAGACACCGTGTGGTCTGTAATATGTAACACTGAATGATATGTAATATGTAGTACCATGTGGTATGTCAAATATAACTCCATGTGGCGTGTAATATGTAGCACTGTATGGTGTGTAGTATGTAAGTGTGGTGTGCAAAATGTAACACCATGTGGTATGTAATATGTAGTACCATGTCATGATGTGTATGTAATATGTAGTACCATGTGGTATGTCATATATAGCTCCATGTGGCGTGTAATATGTAACATTGTGGTGTGCAAAATATGACACCATGAGCTTCATGTGTTGTGGCGATTCGGCTAGAATATATAGCGACCTTGTATAAATCGTCCTATCACAGCACGTTTCAATACCCAATAAGTGATATGTAGTGGAATTTTTATGGCCAATTTATTGGATATTCAAATATTACTGCCTTTTATTTTTACAAGAACTGCTACCCCACAATCACCTGGTATAATACACTCGGTAAATGTACTCACTTTTTCGGTATAACATGGTCCAATCGCCAATAATACCTGCCTAATACCATATACAAACTACTTGATATTTATATCAAAACAAGGTTTGTATGGTACTGTATTTTACATACTGTTAAGTAAGGAAGCAAGTTGTCCGAATTCATACTTGTCCAGTCAGACAAAGGCGCGCCCTCTCTGTTGAGATTTTACGTGTTGATTGAATTTTGGGTCATAGGACAACGATGTCTGGAATCCAAATGAGCCAAGTAGCATATACGTGTCGAGATTTTTTTTATATATATTCGCATTGTACATCAATTTATAAATAGTTTCCAGCAAAAATGATGAAAAATAGAACTGATTTGAATGAATAGGTTTGACTGAAAATGTATTTTATAGCCTTCCCGCCTCCATATTTGTTTTAGGATTTATTTGCTATAATCATATGGTGAAGTACATACTATACTAAGGAGACTTCAATAACATTTTGACTAAAAACGTACATTTTGGCCTTAAATGATTTTTGCAGCATGTGTGTATATTTCTCGTTTACATCTGCGTATATCTCCATACATTGTTTCCAAAAAGAACTTTTAGGTCCAATGTGACTCTGTGGCGTATTTTTGATATAGTACATCTGTTTGCGAAAGTTTTACCACAAAAATGAACATAAACCTTGTTTAAAACATAATTCTTTCATGTAATAATATATATAGCTAGCTTGCATAAGGTAAATTACATTTTATTTATTACTTCCTGGTTGGTGTGTCTGAATCATGATGGCATTCTGGCTTGTATTTTTGGCACACATTTCTATT